TGTATTTACATTTTATTTGGGGCTGAACACATGTGGCAATTTGCCCACACAGATAACGTGCTCCTTAGCAATGAATATGTGAACAAACCTACAGAGCAAATTCCTTGTGAGCTCTTGCTGGTGCCTGCAAGGGATAGTGTGGGGAACATCTCCAGTTGAACTACCTTTGGCTAATTCTTAATGATCTGGGTTAGGAAGGGCATGACACAGTGGTTTTAGGATTACAGGGGCCACTGGGAACGTTAATTAAATTCTGCTGAAAAGCCTTTTAAAAGGGCAATCCTGCGGCAAGAGACCTTGGAGCTTTTATCATTGACTTGCAGTACGTGAAAAGGGCTTTTTAATAGTTCCTGCAGGTCCAGCTGGATTTTGTCACACTTCAAGGGGGTCATATCTGTGTTCTTAAATTGCTTCAGAGTCCAACTTAGAAGGACAGGTGTCACCCCCCTATTGCCACATCTGTCCTCAGCAAGGAACAGTAAGTAATCTGTCTTCATCAAAGCCCTGTTTGACTCCTTCCAAACCCAACCCTGGTGTCCTACTAATCTAAAGTCAGGTCATTTTGATGAAAGAGGGGTTTGGCTGCCTTAATTTATCATCCGGTGTGGAAAAAGGGGTTCTGAAGTTCTGCCTGTGCTTCCTGTTCTCTTTCTGGATGGTTATTGCATTTGACCCTTTAAAATGGGATGTGGTTTCCTTCCAAATGTGCTGTGAAATCTGGTGTTGAAGTCCTTTGCTTGGAAAGCAGCTGATGCTGCTTGTCAGGAGAACATCTCTATGGGATAATTTTGGTGGGAGCAGTGGGTTAAGGCTGAATCTGTAGCACTGGTGGTAGGGAAACCTCGGGACACACGTGGAGGTGATTTATGTGGACTCAGTGGAACTGAGACCAGAGTGGCTCCGTCTCAAGTTATTTCCTAAGTGCTATAATTTCTGAAGAGCTCGTGTCAGGCAGCTGTTAGAGGACACATCTCAGTGATTTAAGGTTGGTAGTGGAGTGGTGTCTTTCAGAAATTACCTGGATGACGAAGGGAAGCTTCTTCCCACTTGAGCAGCCACTTGGTGTTTACTGTTCTAGACATTTCCTCGCCTGAAGTCTTTCAGAGATGTAAAGATGTTACTCTGCACAAAAGGTGGTGCAGGAAGGGCTGGAAGTACTTCATTGCTGGATGTTGTCAGATCAGTTCTGGGGGATGGGAGTTGTCTTGGCTGAAGCAGTATCAGAACTGGTGGTTAATTATGAGGATTTGAGGAGCTAGAAAGAAGACTAGAAACCCCCCAAAATGTTTTAAATAGGAGGTAGGGATGTATACATATAATCAACTTGGCTTCAATTCCTGGAAACATTGAGGGGGGAGTGAACAAGTTTTTTTTTCCCCTAGATGAGAGTCACAGAATCCTGGAATGGTTTGGGTTGGAAGGGACCTGGAAGCTCACCTGTTCCACCCCCTGTCATGGGCAGGGACACCTTCCACTATCCCAGGTTGCTCCAAGCCCTGTCCAGCCTGGCCTTGAACACTTCCAGAAATGGGGCAGCCACAGCTTCTCTGGAGAGCCTGTGCCTCACCACCCTAACACCCAACAATTCCTTCCCAGTATCCCATCTAACCCTGCCCTGTGGCAGTGGGAAACCATTGCCCCTTCTTCTGTCCCTCCATCCCTTGTCCCAAGTCCCTCTCCAGCTCTCCTGAAGCCCCTTTAGGCACTGGAAGGGGCTCTAAGGTCTCCCTGGAGCTTCTCTTCTCCACACCCCCAGCTCTCCCAGCCTGGCTCCAGAGCAGAGGGGCTCCGGCCCTTGGAGCAGCTCCTCTGGACTCACTCCAGCAGCTCCACGTCCTTCTGTTGCTGATGTCCAAAGCTGCTTTGTGGGGATTTTGCATTCGTGTGTTCTGAGGAAACTTGTCTGAGCTGTCCCTCACTCCCAGCCTGGCTGACAGGGGAAGCTCTACTTGTTACGTTTTCACACTGCTTGAAAGTTGGAAAAGGGAGGACGAGGTCAGAGTTCAAAACTGGTGAACTTTTTTTGGAAGAAGGAAAAATTTGGAGGAGCCAAGTGCAAGTTAGTAGAGTTAGGCAGGAATAATCAGCTAGTCAAACATTAAATGGGAAAGGACAGGCCTTACAGCAGCTTCCGAGAACAGGCTGGAGGGATTGCGGCAGTGAGGGGATCACGGATCGATGGAGTCAGTCGGCAGAGCTGGGCTGTGCTGAACCCAGCTGTGTGTGGGAGGGTGAGGGGAGGGCTGGGCAGCTTCCAGGACGTGGGAAATGACACCGTGTCTGTGCCTGATCTTGTCTGTGCCGGGTCACTCCCTCGTGTTTGGGCACAGCTGGGTCCCTGCCACTGTCTTTGGGGGGAAAAAACCCAAACCTTCTGGGAATGAGTGAGATGTAACTGTTCCTGTTTCTGGGCAGGAAGATAAACTTGTGTGGCTTATCTCTAAACTTCTGGGCCAGTATTAACACCAGCAAGGCAGTGGTGTGTACATGCCTGGGTACGGACACCTGCCAAGGGAAGGGCATGGAAAGAGGAGACCTCCCTGCTCAAAATACACCCATTCTGTCCCAAATAATGTGGGGTCATCGAACTGAGTAATCCACGGGTTGGTGGAGTGGGAGAAAGGGCTTGTGGGCAGAAATAGAACTTTATTAAGGTCCAGTCTGTACAAACTCTTGTGCTGGATCGGGGTACACAGGGGGCTGAGCTCAGGTGGGTGGGAGGGGTGTCCACAGTGCCCTGACCCTGAACTGCAAATCCTCAGAGACTGGGGCTGGAAAGGGCTCAGTTCTGGGTTAAATCCCTTCAAGATGGGACATAGCTACTTACCAACCCTTCACATTTTTTACCCTCTGCTTTCTGTGCAGGAGCTCAGTAGTGTCCTGGGATGAAACAGGTTGTGCTGTGTCTTCACAGGGCTCTTGGCAGGAGTTTATGTGACCTGTGAAACCTGGCTGAGAATGTGCTTCCCATTCTTCCTCAAAGTCTCTAATCCCTTCTGTGCTGCTCTTCCTTCTTGATGTGCTCTCTCTTGACATTCTCTGCCCTGCAGTGCTCTCTCCTTGGGCACCTTGTTGCTCCCAAGGCAAGGAGGATCTTATCCCATGAATGGATTTGATCTGCTCCAACTTGCACCAGAGGCAGGGCAAACAAAAGGCTGACATCACCCTTTTGAAGGCTTCATGAGTTTATTTGGAAAGCCAGAGGAAAACAAAACTCCAAAGAGTGTATTTTGTTCTCATAGGGATCTGGATCTATATTGGGAAAAACTTACAGAATCTTGTAATTGAGACAGGAAAAATGGTTGATAGCTGGGGTGGAATCCTTCCCTTGGAAAACCCAGGGGTGTAGAGATGAATCTTTTATTTTAGAAAGGACCTTTAGGTTTCTGAGGCACTGGAAGAGATTATAGTGATAAACAGGTTAAAGATTTTCGTGCTGCTCGTGACTCTTGTTTTTTCTCTGCTATTTGGTGTATGAGAACTGAAACTCAGGATTGCAGAGAGAGGGAACCGAGAACATCCACACCCAGGTGTGATTGTACAAACCAGAGTAACGTGAGCAGCTCCTAGAAATTTTGTGGTTTGTTTTGGATTTTTTGTTGTGCATATTTGGTTTTTTGGGGTCGGGGTTTTTTGTGTCTAGGAAAGACAAATCTCAAGGATTTGGATCCCAACCTAACAGGTCTCCAGCCCAAGACTGACACTGTCACTAGGGAAATGTCAGTATTTCTAGATTTTTTTCCCTTATTTCCTCTTTGAATTCCTGAAGATAAAGGAGTATGTGAATGATATCAGCTACAAAAGCATAACTTATCTGTTGTTTCTTTCACACCACTCCTGCCTTATCTCCGAGTTCCCGTGAATTCTGAGTAGCAGGGACAATGGGCTGGAGGAAGTGCAGGAAGGCTGGAGTCCCTCCCTGGGGAAGCTGGAGGCTCTTTGGACACCAGAGACACTGCGTAGTTCAGCGATAGAGGGAATCGTATCAATTTGTTAATTAAGGTCATTTTAGAAGGTAAATCTGATTTTAGAAAGCTCACAAACAACCAGGCATTTGAAGAAGCTGCAGTGCTGCAGGACGGGCTTTGTTTGCAAGGAAAGGTCGCCTCCAGAGTTGTACTTTTCCTCCAAATCCAGAATTATTCTGTGACTTAATGAAACAAATCTTGTTATTAAATGCAGAATTGTCCTTAAGGTGGTTGTAACATAATTCAGTGTTTCTTTATCAACCATTCTGTGGAAAATTAAATAGTTTTGAGATGAGTACAGCCTTGATGCTATTTCTAAGCTTGGCTATAAAAGCCAAAAGACTCCATTTTCTCTCACACCAGCATTATGCTATGTGGAAAACTGTTCTTCCCTGGAAGAATTTGTCTTCTGTTTTCTCTGGATGATTAAGTTAAGACAAGTCGAAGTGATATTGGCAGCCAATCTTTCTGCTTGACCAAATACACCAGAAAGACAGTAATTAAAATTCACTTCTTAATGCAAAGTAGATGTTAATTATAGAACTCTTTTGGGAATACTTAAAATGGAAAAGTAATCATGTTTATCCTGGACGGGAATGAGAGTAAAAAAAATGCTTTATGGCACTTTCAAGACGTGTTAAGCTCAGAACTGGAGACTCGTTCTCCCGAGGCCTGGATTATTCTTGGTGATTCCTAATCTTTGCTACGCAAACCGAACGACTGCACTGCTGTGAATGGCACCCACCCCAGAAAGGCTGAGAGCAGAGCCTCAAGAGTACACAAGAGTTGCCATGTGAGCAGGAAAACATGTTTTAGGGATGAAAATTTCTTGGAATGTGCGAGTCCATTGTGTAAATAGTCAAAGCAGAAAACACTGTCCCACAGCCCAAGGTATTGTTAATATGTTTGGGGAGAGGGTGTTGCGAGCAGCGACGGCTCTCGTGCTCATCGTGGGATCCTGGGAGGAGGGTGCATTTTCTGTTAGGAAACGTGGAAATCTAACCCCAAACCGGCGTGGTGTGCGTTTTCCAGGGTCCCTCGTGAGAACCTTCACTCCGTTTTACTTCCTGGAGGAGCCGCAGGACGTGCTGTCGGTGCGGGGGGCCGCCGTGGTGATGAACTGCTCGGCCCACTGCGACCCCGCGCCCAGGATCGAGTGGAAGAAGGACGGGACCTTCCTCAACCTGGTGTCGGACGACCGGCGGCAGCTGCTGCCCGACGGCTCCCTGCTGATCAGCTCCGTGGTGCACTCCAAGCACAACAAGCCCGACGAGGGCCATTACCAGTGCGTGGCCACCGTGGACAGCCTGGGCACCATCGTCAGCAGGACGGCCAAGCTCACCGTGGCAGGTAAGGCTCTGCTCTGCAAGTGTGGCTGGAAACGGTGTGGAGGTGGATGCTCTGCCCCTGGAAAAGAAGAAAGCGCTTTCCAGCAAAAGAAACGATGGTTTTATCAGTTATCAGGGAAAGTGGGACTGTGCATCTCATTTCCCAGCTGGAAGTTGGCGTGTTTTGTGTTCGTCAAAGCACCTCAATGAGGGGAGGGGTTTTTCTCAGGAAATGCTGAGGATCAGGGAGGAAACAAATGGATTAAGGAAAGTATCAAAGTGCCTGTAATCAAAATGAATATTTACCACAGCTTAGAAGGGTGGAAAAAGCAGGGTTTTGCTTTCTTTATGTATGAACAACCTTAAAATAACTTCTTCTACTTACATGTTTTCTCTACTCTCTGTTGTAAAACATTTGGGAAGCTCCTCATGGCAGGTATGCAATCCTGACAGGACTGGGAGACAGGTAGGGAAAGGCCTGAAGACAGATAAAGGAGAGCTGGGGGTTGTGTTTTTCTGTTCCTTGAGTGTCAGCTGTGAACAAGGAAGTTTGAAAAGTAACAGCCAACCAAATGCTTCAAGTTTTCCATTAAAAAGGCCAAGTCATAACCTCAGCCTTGGTGTTTGGAGTAACCTTTAGACTTGACTGGTGACAGCTTTTATTTAGGGGGTAGAAAGCAGTAAAGGAGTGAAGTTTGCACATAAAAATAAAGATTATGGCTAGGGAAAGTGCCTGTTTTCAGTCATTTGCTTGTGTCTCAGGGCTTGGGAGTGTCAGACTGTGTGTGCCTTGTAAACAGCATAACTTGCAATTCCTGAGTAAGAGTGAGACTTCAAATCCAACTGAAAAGAAAAGGTAAATAAAGGGCTGTAACTAAGAAAAAGCCTATGAAGCAGTTCTCCTTTGTTTCTCTAATGATGTTTGCCAGCCTTTTTCAAACAGTTTTTTTTTTTGTTTTGCTTAATAAATGTCTCAAGGTAATGAATTCTTCCTGACTGGGGCTCTGGCATCTCCCAGAGCTGCTGCTTCCCATCGTTTATATTCTGGTGTTGTTTCCATCACCGTGGCTTGTAACGTTGTTGGGAAACATCAGCAGCGTCAGAAACAAAAGAAATGGGGTTTTTATGCCTTGAAGGAGTGACTTGGAGAGTCTCTAAATGAGGAATATGTTTCTGAGCTTCTTGGCAATGAGGACAATAAAAGCAGTTCTCACACACTTCTCTCAGCAATTCCCACCTCCCTGCATGGCTGCTGTCGGGATTAATTCTGCTGCTTTCCACATGAGCTCCTTCAGCCTCCTGCCTCTGTCGTCAGTCTGCTCTGTGTGATCATTAGGTGAGGTTAATGGGGTTAAAGATGAAGGTAAGCCAAAATGCCTTCCGAATCTCCAGTTCCATTTCGCAGTGTCCGCGGAGAAGGTGCTATTTTAATTGGACGTTTCTAAAATGATGGAATCTTTGAGAGCCTTTTAGTCCTTGGGAAAAAAAAAAAAACCACAACAAACAACACGGCAGTTGTGGTGAGTTTTGTTTTCAAAAAAATCTTTGCTGGAAAACACAACAAATACAGTGTAACCCAAGGCAATATGGATCTTCACCATAACACAACTAGTTGCCTCTTTGACTCTCGTTGGCCTGACAGCTGCGTTATGAGATTATCGATCAATTCCCTGCAATAAAAACTGTACTTCCCTTGTCCAGAACTAGAGGAAATGCTCGTGACACGTGTTCTGTATTGCCTTATGCCATCCTGTCCATCAGAAACCTGCCCCAGAGCATCCTCTGGCTGCACTCTGCAACCTCCTGCTGCTGCTCCAAAAGCCTGGTCAGCTGTGGGGTGTGAAGGGTGTGAAATCCTATTTACCAACCCAGCCAAGTGCCAAGAGCTGTGCCAGACTACCCTGAGTTCAGTCCTGTACTTGGGGGAAGGGTGGTTTGGTTGCTGAAGGCTTCGGAATAAGTGATGGAATATTTAAATTCTGGTTTAATTGTTTTGGTTTTCTGGTCCTCATTTGAATCCCTCAGTTTTAACAGTGGTTTTTAATATTCCTTCCTGCCCTCTTGGTTTTAATTGGAAGCTCTGGGCTGTGGTGAGTGTGGGGATAGTTCTCATAGTAAGATCTCTCCTTGGCCTCAGAATTCCAGAGGGAGGGAGGTAATTCCCCTCTTAATGGAGCAGTGGTATCTTGGGTTCCTGTGTTGTGTGTATGTGGTGCTGCACCTGATCCCTTTAAAAGGGAATAGTGTGAAACGTGGGTTGCATGTTTGAACAGCTTCTTACTCATTAAATAACTTCACTGCCTGAAAAGGACAGTTCTGGTGAGTCACGTGGGCCAGGGCAAGGGAAATCCAGTAAAAATATGTTGTGTTCCATCACAGAAATGAAGGGATACAGGGTTGGAGTGTTTAGGCTCAGAACTGCACTGTCTTCCCCAGGAGCCAGTGGATGGTGCTGAGCAATTCCTGAGTCCTGCAGGAAGGACTGACAGGTGCTACACTGAGATAAGCTCCTCAGATTATTGAAAGGGCTTTCTGTATATCCTAACTTGATGGATCTAAAAGGTTTGGATGTTGGAAACTGCAGCTGTAGGGTGACTGATGGTGCAGGGGCTGTGAGGTGACAGAGGGGCTCAGGGACCCACTGTGGGAAAAACAACCCCAAACACAAGTGGAGTGCTCAGACAGGGGCTGAAGGAGTTGTTACAGACAGACTGTCTTGGGTTCTTGCCCCAGTGTCTGCTTTTGGCAGTGCTGTGGAGGTGTGTGGGCAGGGAAGGGATGGTGGCAGGTCACCAATGTGCTTTTTAAGAACCTTTTCTGTGCATGATAATCCATGAGAAGCCTTTACCCTTTGGGTTTTTGGAGGGGTGAGAAATCCGAGTTTCTGTGGCAGCTGAGACTCCTAAAGAAACTGATCTTTGCCTTCTTTAGATTTAAAGAACAAGTCAGAGATACGATAAAATACCACATTGTGAAAGAACACTGGAATTCAGCACTTGAATTAGTCTGTAACTTGGATTTGTGTGCTACTGCACCTCAGTTGTGAGGTGTTTGCTGTTCTACCAGACTTCCAGGAGTAAATCTTTGATTTTTAGGAGCTGCAAACAGCAGGAAATGTGTTGGCTTTCTTTAATGATCAGCAGTTTCAGGACACATCTCTCTCTTTCCCACTCAGTGTGGGCTTCCACAGTTTGGCTCCTGCCAGCAAATGAAGGATGAGGTTGTCATCACCTGTTTCTTAGGGCAGGGGAGGGAGGGAGGTGTGATGGTCAGTCAGTCCCTATAATGAGCAGGATTTCCTCATTGTTGCAATGGGTTCAAACTAGGGAAAGTCAAAGAAATTGCCTAATTTATGTAAAGCCACAGCCCTTTAATCAGTGCCTTGGTACAGTGTGTTTTCTTAATTGGCTTTTGAAATGCAAATCTGTCTTTGATACTTAAGTGCCAGTTAGATCCTAAGAAGGGTGAAGGGTTGGGATAGCTCTTGCAAAACATGGATTAAAAATGCATTTACAAAGTTTTGGGCAATTGTGACTGTAATTCATCTTGGAAAGAATAAATTTGTGTGTATTTTAATAAAAAGTACAATGATATGAGTTGAAAAACATTCCCAAGATGATTTCCCCCAGTCACTATTTACTATGGTTTGGTTGAAGCTTTCCTAAAGCTTTTATTGAGAGAACAGATACACAAGGATCTGGAAGTTTGGAAGCATTACTGGGACACTGAGTTTGTTCATACAGATTTATTGGCTCTATATATCCATTTAACTGCTCACTAAATTACTTGTTTTACCTCTTGTCATCTTTTTCCCCCAAATCAGTCCAGCTGGTTTTCTTCCTCTTCTTCCACTTGTCTTTGCATTTGATAATTCTTGGCTTTGAGCTTTAAGTGCCTCTTGCTGAATTGTGACAAGGCAGCTGTCCCTGCCTTGGTACTGACTTCAGGTGTGTCCAAGTTTAATTCTAAAAGCTCTTGGGGATAACTTAGGACTTTTTTTCTCCTACCTCAGCCAAGTAAGCTCCTTTCTCAGTTAAATGTTAATAAAAATGTTATTTTCCAAACCTTAATTTTGTAATTCCTCTTAGAAAAAGTACAGGCAAATCACCTCTGTTACGAGATGCTCCTGCCATGTAGTGTCAGACTCTAAAATGGGTCATTGGAAACCTCCAGAGTGTGTTTGTGTGTGAACTCCAGACTCCAAAGGTCAGCACAGACCCTGCAGGGATGAGGGTCCAGCCCCTGAGCCGGGCTTGGCCAGTGGGATTTTGATACATCAGCTGTAGGGAATGAGCTTCACCTGAGAAATTGCTCTGGTTTTTAGCTGGTTGCCTTGCCTTTCCAAGGTTTATTTGCATGTGTCCAGCTTTGGGCTTCCAAATTGCTGACTAGAAGAGCTTGGAGGAGTTAACTGAGTCAGAGCCAGGAGATGCTGGTGCCTCATCCTGCTGTTATTGCAGCTCATTACACCATCTCCAGAAGATCTGCAGGTTTGCCCTTTTCTCAGTGGGCCAATAAAGAATTTCTCTCCACTAAATTGAATTAGAATATTGCTTTTTATAATGTGCCTAGATGCTGTAAATGAGGAGGGCAGGTAGATATAAGTAATTCATATCCATTACAGAGTGGATACTGCCTGTCTTTGGATGACAAGCAGCAGGTAAAGCTGTGGCCAAGAGATGATTATCCAGGACATTTCCTGAGCACAGCTGGTGGGAGAGAGAGCAGGACCTGGATGGACCTGAGCTTGCAGTTAAAGGCAGAGCTCTGCAGAGCACAGGGTCACAGATGGGTCGTGGTTGCCAAACTTTGAATGTTCACAGCTGAACAGTGTTTTATTTCTTCCTGGGCTCTGTGTGTGTCTGTGCCATCCCTGAAGGGTGAGACAAACGGTCCCAGCTCCTCGGAGATGTGATTAGGTGGGAAATAACAGCACATTTTTACCCAATATTGCACATTTCCTGTAAGAGCGAGGGGGAAAAAATATGCTCTTGATCAGATCTTCATGAATAAAGAACATTC